AGAGCTTTAACATGAAGCTTCAGATTTTCATCCCTAAAAAAATTTAGGCAGACAAGCATAGGAGTCTGTTATCTTCACTCTTGATGGGGAAAGAATTAGAGATTTGTGATTAGGGTACTAATTATTCACCAGCTAATGACCAGAGATTTAAATGATGAGACTTTCCACAATTTATCTAATGGATTGCATGTGGGCATCACGCCATTCAATATCAAAATATAAAAGGTAGGCGTTGGAAGAGATTTTCACACAGTCTCGACATTTCACCTGTAGATTACTTATTAATTGCCAAGAAAGAAATGCTTAGAATAGGCAAATCAACAGAGACAAAAAGCAATTAATGGTTTCTAAGGGTTATGGACACGGGAGAATGAACAGTACTACGAATGGGTTAAGGGTTTCATTTAGGGCTAATGAAAATATTCTAAACTTAGACAACAGTGATAGTTGCACATCTTAGTAAATATATAAAAACCACTGATGGTACACTTTAAAAGGATGGAATATATAGTGTGTAAATTACATTTGTTAAATGCTGCTATAAAAAGAAATGATGACATTTAGTGGATACCATCATAACAAAATCACCAAACTCAGTAACACTAATAATAGGAAATACTGCCGCAAACACTGCAAGGCTATTTTCATCACTTTTATCAAAATCCACATCATATCATCAACCCTGTTATTTCCCAGAATGTCCATCCTGATTTTTTACCCAGTAGAACCATTCTAAATCATTCATGGTTGAAGATTGCTCTTTAAATCCCAGAATGAATTTCAACTCACATTGAAATGCTTTTTCATTTTATTCTTATTATAATACTCAGTATTTTAGAATAAATCCTTTACTGTTAGCAATTGTCTATGTAAATTGACATAGAAAATGTATAAATATTATTATTGTTCCCTAATGAAATAATATAAATTGTTCTTTTCTTCCCATTCCCAGAAATATTTTTATTAAAATTTAGAATATCAGTGTTATTACCTGCAAGTCCCTTTTCTGTTTTAATGTATTTTAAATAATAATATCAATGAATGAAGTGAATGTAGACACTTCCCATGCTGTATAACTTGTACAATTTCTGGATTATGTGCTGTATGGGAGAATGTGGTCAAGCCAATTTTGTATATGTTGGCTATTCTTTACTCTGAGGACCATCTGAAATCACATGTTATTATCACCAGCAAACTGGAGGAAAAATAAACATTAGTTTATTATTACCATTTCCTCTTAGAACAAAATATATTTTCAACTTTATTTTTCTTAATTATTTACCATTTGACAAATATTTTAAATGGCAGTGTGTCTTTTGTTCAATTAGTAGGTGCCATGGCCTACATTTTCCACATGCTGATTTTCAGATGAGGATATGTGATTTGTTAAGGAAACATTCCCAGGGGAAAAAAAGAGAGTGGGGGAAGCAGAACATAGAATCAGTCGCCCCAAAGAAATGTGACATTTAACTCAAAGATTCCACTTCAGGGACCAGGAGATTGTGCATCCTATGTAGTCGACCACTGTTTGAGTCCTGGACCCTGTGACTTCAAACTCATGCCAGGCACATGTGCTTGCTTGCCCAAAATCCTGAGAGGAGAATGGAGGAGAAGGGATTATGGCATGGCCATCCCCCTAGGGGGTGATTTCTTGCTTTATGTCTGTCTCTCTGGCAAGCACATGCGCACTATAGCAAAAATCTCTCTTAAAAAAAAAGATTCCACTTTAGCCAAAACTCATAGAGTTATTCCCCCCCCCGGGAGGGGGGATTTCTTGCTTTCTATCTTTCTCTGTCTCTCTGGTAAGCATATGCACACTATAGCAAAAACCTCTCTTAAAAAACAAAAAAAAAGATTCTACTTTAGCCAAAACCCATAGAGTTCTTTGGAACTGAAATGGCACCATGGTTTTTGGTCTGTTTAAGGCAAGAGAGCTGGAGTTTGAAACACAAACATATTCATATCACAAAGGTATTCAGTGTGACCTGCCCCAGGGGACATAAACTCTGAGGCACTTCTGGTTTTGATCAGCTCTAGCAACCTAAGGGTAGTTCCCTGAAGAAGGTTACCCTACCATGTGGACCCAGACGATGGGAGCCCAGCATAAGAAAATGACACCTACAAGGGATGAGGACAGAAGGACAGAGCATCCACAGTATTTGCTAGAGTAGTCTATTCTGTTTTGTTTTTCTTTTCCTCCATAATCATTTTTTTCTCTTAATTCATGATAGAGTGCATGTGTGCACAAGGAGAGAGACAGAAATAGAGACAGAAAAAGGGAAAGGAACACCTTCACAAGGTCTGGTCACACATCTGTCAATACCGGGCATTTGAGAAGGTGACCAAGGTATTTCCAGCTGACAGGGCAGAGGACATACTAAAGAGGGAAACAGAAACAGAAAAAGAGACACCTTCTTCCAGGTCTGTTCACACCTAAGTCCAACTTGGGCACCTGAGCATGTACATGTCCAGGGTGTTTCTGGCTGACTGGGCAGGGGATTTGAACCATGTTCACCATGTGGAATCTTCTTTGTCTTGAACAACATATTAGCACTGCACCATGAAGTTGGCCTATGTAATCACCATGAAAACAAACACAAATTTTTGGTTATGCGATGTCAATAATGATGACATCTGTGGGTAAACTATGTTATTTAATCTTAAAAAAAAAAACCTTATTGGTTAAAAAAAGTCAGTTAATAAAATTTTAGTCATTTATTATGTTGGGTTGTCTGGAAAGTCATGACACATTTTTGCATAGAAAATATAGAAAAAATACATCATGACTTTGCCTACAACCCGCTAGTCAGCATAAATCTACAATATGTAGAAGTATTGATTTGTGCCATTAGGAAATCGAAATTTCATTTTAAGGACATCATATAAAAAGTTACATATAGATAAGCAATTTAATCCTGAATAGAGAATTTTATGTATGTACTTAGTATACATAATAATATACATAATACATAAAATGAATGATTCATACTAGTTAAATAAGACAATGTTTAGTATGTGCATTTTGTATAAAATGTCAATACATATGAATCATAAAAGGAAAAAAATGCATTTCTTATTGAAAAATACTGTTGTGGGCTAGCCCATGGCCTGGTGGTAAGATGGCTAGATCCCACATGGCTGTCTGTGTGGTTTGAGTCTTGGACCTGGCGACTTGAGTAACATGCTGGACATGTGTGCATGCATGCCCAAACTCCCCAAAGAAGGCAGAGACAGACGAGAAGGAATTGGGGCATGGTCATTCTTCATAGGGGAGAAGATAGGGTGCTTTCTAGCTTTCCTTCCCCCTCTCTGCCTGTATGTCTCTAGCAAAACATAATCTCTGGCAAATCTTAAAATGTTATTATAGGTAACATTGAGGTGGAAATCATTCAACAGGTAACATATGTTTATCATTAATGTACCTGACAATTCACTAATATAACAGTTCTGAGGACCAGCAGTTGGCATAATGGCTATGTCGCTGGACTCCCATGTAGTCGACCGTGGTTCAAGTCCCGGACCCGGTGGCTTAAACTCATGCTGGGCGAGTGTGTGTGTGCCCAAGATCCCGAGAGGCACAGAGACAGAATTGTCACATAAGGTAGGAAACTGCAATATGATCTAAGTGTTTTGTGGCTGGTAAAAATAGGGCAATTTCATAGTATTTTCATAAAGTATGCAGGTTATGGAAGGTAATAGTACTCTTTGTGGTTGAATAATTTTTGAAGTATTATTTTCAGTTCTCAGACACATTTAAAGAAAGACAGAGATAAAACAGTCATATAAAGAAATGTGACTGATACGTAAAAAATGTGGACATCTTGTAGTTGAGAGAAACTTGTACGTCCTGAATGTTTGGAATCTGAAGACAAGAAACCTTCGGGAAAAAAATGAAGACTATATTTAAATATTTGACTATAGATTTGCCTTTTGTTGCTTTGGAACAGAACTTCTCATGTTACAACTCTCTAGATATGAAGTAGGCTGTTTCTGAGTTTGGAATGTCACTCTGGTAGTGTCATCCAAGGCTAGATACCATCTGTCAGGGATTTCACAGAACAATGTTGACTAAATTAACTCTGAGGCTGCTTTAATTATGAAATCAATCGAATCTGGTTTTAGACCTGCACCACTGTAGGCCGTATTCTAGGGTATGCTTGACAATAAAATGTACAATATTGAAAGCTTTAAAAGTAAATATTTTAAGGGGCTAGCAGATGGCATAGTGGTTACATTGCTGGGCTCTCACATGGCTGACTGCAGTTCAAGTCTCAGACTTGGTGGCTTGAATTTCATGCTGGGTGCATGTGTGTGCATTCCCAAGATCCCAGGAGGAGAATGGAGGAGAAGGAATTGTGGCATGATCATCCCCCAGGGGGTTGATTTCTCACTTTCCCTTTCACTGTCTGTCTTTCTTTCTCTCTCTCTCTCTCTCTCTGGTGAGCACACATTCTCTAAGGCAAAAACCTCTTAAAAATAAATAAAAATTGAAAAGTGAATATTTTAAAACAATATAATAGTTGATTAACTGAAACAAAATAGGTGGAAAGAGAAAGTGATGAATAATTCAGGACTTCATAAGGCAAAAACCTCTTAAAAATAAATAAAAATTGAAAAGTGAATATTTTAAAACAATATAATAGTTGATTAACTGAAACAAAATAGGTGGAAAGAGAAAGTGATGAATAATTCAGGACTTCATTTTTAAAAAAATATTTTATTGAACTTTATTTATTTTAATTTGACCAGAAGGGGGAGAGAGAGAGGGAGAGGGAGAGAGAGAGGAAGAGGGAGAGGGAGAGAGAGAGAAAACTAGCCACTAGGTCCAGGACTTGAACTGCATTTGGCCATGTGGAAGTCCAGCACTCTTAACCGCCATGCCACCCACTGGTCCCCAATGCCTTCATTTTTAAAAGCATTTGAAATATTTAAAATATTTCATTCTGTTTACTGCATCTGAAAACTTTATTTTATTGAAATGTAATGTTTTTCACTTTTAGGTTTTCACTTCCACTTACTGCAACAGCAGAAAACTGCATTCTTACTATTTACCAATATATGGCAACTTATGCTGATAAGGAAAAAATTATTTTAAAGAATGGTAAGTTATATAGGAAAGATTTTTCTCTAGCCTTAACTGGATAGCTTCTTGTTATTCAAGGGTCATATCTAGAAACAAAGTGAATTTAAAACTAATAGATGATTATTAAACACCTGCCTTTGCCGAGAGCTATGCTTACCACTTAGAGGAGATATGATAATGTCTCTTCATTCTGGAAGTTGACAGTCTAGTAAAAGACTTTTAATTTTACACAAAGAAGATCAAAGAGCTCCGTATGTGAGTCAACTGAAGTATTGGAGATGTGAGGGTGGTGCAGAGGTTAATGCTGACGCTGAAGGTCTGTAATGACTTTACAAAAGAGATGACATTTGTATAGAGCTTGGCAAATGTTGACCTTGAATAGAATGATTTGGACAAAGGGCAATAAGGCAAAAGCATGAGTGCACTGGGAGATATGACACAAATATAAGTGTAGGGCCATACTGCTCTATCTTATAGAGTCCTATGTTCTGTGACATAAGGGACCTGCTGTGATTTTTTAATTATCAGATTTACAAAGGGAGTAGTTGTTGGGACTTAAGATAAAGTAAGTCAGAGAGGGGTCAATAAGGGGTCAATAAACCAGCTGGGAATTGTTGCAGGAAAGGCAATTAAACAATGGAAAAGAATCTAGTGATAAGGGAGACACAGGAAAGGCGAGACATAAGGAAAAAAGGATTAATGGAGTAAATTCCAGAGAAGAGCAAGGATGGGGAGTGGGGAAAAATAATCCCATCCATGTACATCATCAAGGCCTTAATTTTCAGGGCTGAATTGTGTTTTTAACCAGTTTTGTCATATTTTCCACTTGCTTATTCAATATTTACCTCTCGTGAATCCTATTTGATCTTGTTCGGCCTCGGTCTCAGGGGATGACTTTTTTTCTGTCTTTCCTGAAGAGAGACCATTAGGCAGTGACACTGTAGATTTCCAAATAACAAACACGCATTGGAAGTCATCATCTCTCTTACTCTAGTCACAAAGCCAGAAGACACTACTCTCTCCTGCCTTAAGCCATTCCTTTATCCAAATCTCATTACCGGGAGACTCTACTTAATCTATTATCCTTGCTTGTTCTTGCCCTTCAAATTCTGTCTCCCTTTTAAGCTGATTGAGTTTCCAGAAAGATGGTATGGAGGAAAAAGGAGAAAATAGCTTCTCAGTGAACAGGCTCCTTCCTGAGCATAAAAGGCAGATTCAGGTCATGCATTCCTTATTTATTCTTTACAGATTTGCAGATTAAAGTCATTTCTCAGAGAGAGCGAGAAAATAGCTGTGGTAATTAAGCAATTAGAGTACCTCAGCCCCCTTTTACAGAAAAGAAATGTCAGTGGTGAGAAAGAAGTCTTCCTCCATTATTCTGCCGTTACTTGACACAGTTAAAATTTGATTATTCTCGCTCTCTTCAAACTCTTTCTGGGCTTCTATATACCGTACTTCTTGGGATATGCTCTAACTGCTTTCTTTCTTCAGAGTATCTTTCATAATTTCCTTTTTCTCTACCTGTCCTTTTTCCCCTTATGTTGCACTTTTATTTTTTGAATGAATATGGTGTACTTTTTAATGATTGGGTGGTCAGAAAAGTGACGTCCTATTTTTTCTGTTTTTCTATGCAAACATATATCATACTTTTCCAGTGACCCAATTATTTGTGTTCAATGAGAGTTCTGATTTTTTTTAATTTCTCCTTCTTTCCATGACTTCAGTTACAATTAATGAGCTATACCTCCAACCCTGATCCCTCTCAGAGATTCAGGTTTACCACCTTCTGGATGCCTTTCATTGGAGTCTCATAAGTACTCCCAAAATAGGGTGGCTCAAACTAAACTCTCCTTTCTGAAATTAAATCTTCCTTCTCTATATATGTCCCTACCATCTTTCCAGGTGCCCAATCTATAAAACCTGGGTGCCATCTTTCACAGTGTCTTCTCTAACACTCCACTTCCATTTTATGTATTACTATCCTTTTTTTTTTTTTTTTATTTTGGAGAAGTTTTCGCTATAGGGCGCATGCGCTCGCCAGACAGACAGAGAGAGACAGAGAGAGAGAAAGCAAGAAATCAACCCCCAGGGGGGATGGTCATGCTGCAATCCCTTCTCCTCCATTCTCCTCTCGGGATCTTGGGCACGCACGCACACACGCCCGGTGTGAGTTTTAAGCTACCGGGTCCGGGACGTGAACCACGGTCGACTATGTGGGAGTCCAGAGACATAGCCATTACACTATCTGCTGGTTCCCGTATTACTATCTTTTTGCCTCCTAAATGTCTCTCAAATCCATTCACCTCACTCCCTCTCTCCAGTGCCACTACACATAATTAAGGTTCTATAATGTCTTCCCAGGATCAGTTCAAAGGTTTTGAAATTATTCTCCTGATTCCTGTGATATTCTCCTCTTTCACAAACAGTCCTTCACACTAGTTACAGTGATATTGGTAAACTAAAGATTCATTTTTGTCTTCCCCAGGTATAAAATCCTTCCATGGGGACCAGCAAGTGGCATGGTGGTTAAGGCGCTGGGCACTCCCAGATGACCAACTATGGTTCAAGTTCTGGACCTGGTAGCTTTCTTTCCCACTTTCCTTCTCTCTCTTTATATCTATCTATATCTATATCTATATCTGGTCAAATTAAAATAAATGAATTAATAAATAAAATGTAATAGATAATTCTTTTTAAAAATCTTTCTATGGAGCATCTATGCTAATAGAATGAAGCCTACAAGACCCCACATGGCATAACCCCAGCTAATGGCTTCATTCTCATTTTTGGATATCTTTTCCTCTATGTTCAAGTCACATTCAACTTCTCTTAGTTCTTCTAGCATCTTAATTTTTACTGATGATATTTCTTTTGACTGGAGCATTTTTCCTACCATACCTACAGAAGATCCCTACCTTTGTATCTGAGAGTTTTGTGCTTATCTGGTATATCTTCATAGCTCTATACAATTACCCTGTTGTTACCTTTACCATATTTTGACTTAATTTTATATCTATATTCCTTTCTAGATGTTGATCTCTATAAGGTCTGTGAGAGCAAGAATTAGGTCTATTTTTTCACTCTTGTGTCCACAGTACTTCACATAGTATTTATCAGATAAGAGGTTCAATATTATAGAATGAATCATCTATAATTATGAACCATTAGGAAGATATATGTTAGTTTTATATTTTCATAAGGGAATGGGTCATATGTGGAATATTATATTTCCAGCACCACAAACAACAAGAAAAATATTTTAAAGTAATTCATGGAATAGCCCAGTTTGCAGGTTGGAGATAGAGAAATAGACAGATAGATATCTCAAAATCTTGACACATAATGTCAAACTTTAAATATCTTTCTAATCTTAATGTTATATTTTTGTATTCTTCTAATATGAACTGCAGATTTCAGATAACACAACTTAATAACAAAGGGTGAAGGGTCATACAACCTGCATGACAATTCTATATTGTGTCCTAACCCCACCATTTTGCCATATGATCTTATTTTTAATTCTCAGTCCCTCAAATTTATCATTTTATTAAACAAAATATGCATGGCAAGGGAGTAGTAGAATACCAATGATATCTGTTTTATCTATTTCAAAGAGCTTTTGTGAAGATTCATAGAACAGAAATACCTGGAAGATGTTATTGCTATCATTTAATTATTATTATTATTATTGTTACTGTGATTGTGATTGTTTTACCATTCTTTTATATTTTTCATAATATCCTTCCAGAAAATAATATAATAATGAATTCCTGTTTAATAAATTGTATGGATATATGCATAAATTAGATATGTATTTGGATGCCTGGTCTTAAGTCATATCTATTGACATTTCTTGGTTGGCAATGCCTTTGGCTGGATTTAGTTTACCACTGTTGCAAACTCTAACATATATACAGAAATTCTAAAATAAAGTCTGAAATCTGTGCAAAATGATATCAGCTCATAATCAAGCTGTGGTTTCATTCAGAGAATAAACTAGGAAGAAGTTACTTTTGTTGATGACCCTCTCCTTGTGTCTTATTTCGAATATCATATATAACAATTCCAATTGTTTTGGTGTAGAAACATTTAAACAATTTTACATTTTGGCTGGTCCCATCACACGGTGATTAAACATTATATGGAGGAAGCCAGATCCCACATGGTCAACTACATTCAAATCCTGGCCCTGGCAGCTTGATAAATACAGTGACTGTGTGTGCACACACATGCCCAGGATCCTGATGGGAAGGAGGTTTGGAGGAAAGAGGGTTGTGACGTGACAGACCCTATTAGGGGGCACTTTCTGTCACACACTTGCACACATATGCACACATTTTTTTGAGATTTTTGCTATAGGGCGCATGCACTTGCTAGAAAGACAGAAAGAAAACAACAAATCACAACCACTCGCCTCCCCCAGAGGGATGGCCATGACGCAATCTCTTCTCCGTCATTCTCCTCTTGGGATACTGGCACACATGCATACCTGGTATGAGTTTCAAGTCCTCAGATCTGGGACTTGAACTGTGATCAACCATGTGGGAGTCCAGTACCTTAATCACTATGCTATCCTGTGCACATACTTGCAAAGCACATGCACACACCCTCTGGCATTGAAAAGAAATACATAAGTAATGGCATATCTCCTTTGAAAAATACATAAATATTTTATTAGTACATTTTCTTCTTTATGTTACAGTTGGTTGTTTTTCATTGTTCGATAACATTAATGTACCATAATAATTGCCATATCAAATGAATGTCATTTAATTTCAAAACCTTATTAATTTTTAAATTATTTTTCCTTATATGACCTATTACTTGATAGATAATGAATGTTTCGATTTTTTCTTTTATATGTGTGTGTTTCTGTGTGTATTAAATTCAGGTTACATAATTTGATAGTGAATTTGATAAATGCTAGCTTGACTTACTGTGATCCAGTGTTTTATTTATAGAGAAGGACGACTCTTAAACCCAGTCCATGACGTAATCTGTTTATGTCATTAATTTAAAAGTAAGACTTTTTCAAGCAACAAGAAATTCATAGAGAAAACCATTGATCTGTCATTAGCTTTACGTGGATCATCTGTTTCGAGAATTTTCTCCAATGATCAGTAGCAGAGGTTCCCTAATGTTCTTTGCTCACAGCAGCCTGTAGTGTCTCCATACTTTTTCCTAGGTCAAAAAATGTACCAAATAGTTCCATTTATTAAGTGAATTGGTACAAAACCCTAAGAATAGTAGATTAAATATAAATAATAAATATATATAATAAAATCCAATAATAGCACCTATTTTAAAAAGGAGTAGTTGTTTATGTGCTGTCTAACTGATGTTGCTGTCATAATTAACTAAAATGTTAAATATACTGTGGATACCCTGTAAATTTGCTGTGACATCCCAGGTACCCTCTGTACATACTTTGGGAACTGTAGAACAATGGGTTTTTCTCATTATGTAGTTGGATCCAAAGTTGTGCATCTCAGAAAGAGGTGAGCGCACATAAATATGTTAACTTTGATATTATTTTTAATTAACTTTCAATATCAGTCATATCCCATAGAAAGAAATATTTGAACAGTTTTCTTTTTTATTAAATGGTGGTTTTTATTGAGTATGTGCTTGTGCCATTACAGACAGATTTTTTTTTCAGAGGGTGGATTATAAAATCACTTTATTTCTTGAAAATTTGTCTAACTCAAAACATTTTATTTACGTGCTTGATTTAGAAATGAATTCATTTTTAATTCGAAGCCAATATTTTATTTCTGCAATTTTTTCAACTGATATTTAATTTTGTCTAATAAATAAAGCTGAAGAATTGCTAATACATTTTGCTAATGTAATTAGAAATGAAAGTTGG